AATTAACCTTCCCTCCTTGCTCCCTCTTCGTAGGCCCCCACAGCGGTTCATTTCCATTGAGGGAACTGTCTCGTTGGAAGACAACAGCTTGAAGATCTTGAGGCGTGCCAAAACATTGTTCTCGGGATTTCAACGCCACGTATCAACCTGACTCCTGCGTCTTGACGATCCAGAATCGTGCCAGAACGGCATGTTTGGGACTTCGATACAGTGAATCAGCATTTCTTGCGCCCGCATAATCTTGAACCGTTCCAATACACGGCTTCTGAAACGCTGATCATGGACATCCGTGAAATGCTTGCAAATGTTGAAAGCGAATTCGCGCGGCGCTAAGGCGACAGCCACATGTTGAAAAGGAACCGCCCTCAACCCGTGAAACTCTTGCAACGTTTTAGAACTAGTGTGCGCGGCGCTAAGGCGAGAGCCACATTTTGAAAACGACTCGCCCTGAATCCGTGAAGCTCTTGCAAAGGTTTAAAATGAATGTGCGCGGCGCGGAGGCGAGAGCCACATTTTGAAAACTATCCGCCCTCAATATGTGAAGCTCTTTGTAAAGGTTTAAAACGAATGTGCGCGGTGCTCAGGCAAGAGCCACATTTTGAAAACCACCCGCCCTCAATGCGTGAAATTCCTGCAACTCTTGAGAACGACTGCGCGCGGCGCTAAGGCGAGAGCCACATTTTGAAAGCGACCCGCCCTCCATCTTTTCAACTGTTGCCACTTTTTAAGCTGCAGAATCACAAATGGTGAGGAAGTCTCAGGCGAAACGCCCGGCCCGCCCTAAAAACTGGCCTCGGGGTGCGACAGGGAGGAGCGTTTTTACAAGGAGAAGGACTCGAGGAGGACGGAGGAGGAGGATGGAGGAGGAGGACAAAGGAGGAGGAGGAGGAGGAGGAGGGCTTTTGAGGGTGGAGGAGGAGGAAAACGGAGGAGGAAAAGGAGGAGGAGGAGGAGGACGGCGGAGGAGGAGGACGGAGGAATAGGGGGAGGAGGACGGAACGCATCAGAAGCGCACCATCGCCGTGAGAGGGCGTCCAAACAATGCAAACGTCAAACGTTTCCGGGGCTCTGCGAGGAGCTCTTGCGTCGACGTTGTGCGCCCCTCCCCCACGCGTCTGGCGACGCAGCTGGCCGTCTCGCTCCGCGCGCCAGGGAAGTGGTGCGGGCAGAGGGGGTCCAGCGCCGACCCGAGAGAGCCGCGCGGACCTCCGATAGTTTATGCTTGTACAGATTTCGGTGTTCTGGCCGCAGCGCTGGGGACTCAGGAGAGTGTAGCGCCGCTGTGCTGCTTCGCTAGTAAGGCCAAGTTCGCAGCAGCCGTTTCATTATTTATCAGTTTCCTCCTCCTCCTCCTCCTCCTCCTCCTCCTCCTCCTCCTCCTCCTCCTCCTCCTTCTCTCCTCCTCGTATCATGTGTTTCTGTTTCGGGGTCGTTTCCTTATCCGCTGTCCCGCTCTTCCTCCCACTCGGTGCTAAGCGATGTGGCAAATTCTAGACGCTTCGCGTATCCCCACCAGCCCGTCCAGAAACGACACCCAGGCGAGTAGAGGGTCGTCCTGAGGGGCTTTTCGGCGTCTTGGGTGCCTCGGGTGGGCCTCTGTGGGCCGTTCGGGATCGTCTTTGGGGCCTCCTGGGGGCCTCTTGGGGCCTCTTGGGGCCATCTTGGGGCCTTTGGGGGCCTCCTGGGCGCTTCTTGGGGCCTCCTGGGCGCTTCTTGGGTGCCTCTGGGGGGTCTCTTGGGGCCTCTTGGAGGTCTCTTGGGGGCCTCCTGGGGGCCTCTTGGGGGACCTCGGAGCCATCTTGGAGGAGATCGATCAACGAAGGGGGGTTCCCTAGTTACAGCCCCCCCCTCAGGAGCCACGATCCTCGTGAAGGGTGTCGAATTTTAGCCCTCCCAGGGGTCGATCTTGGGCGCTCCAACGCGCCGCGGAACCCCCTGTCCAGGTCAGTGGGGAGGGGGTAGGGGGAGGGGTAAACCCCTCCCCGAAGGGGAAGAGGGAGGGGTGGAAGAGGAAACTCGTTAAACCACCGACGCCCAGAGGGCTGGTGGGATTCTAGAGAATGCCTCGCCTTCGAGGGATCGAAGAGTTGCCATTTCTCATTCGGCGCAAGGCTAGCAGAAGCTGGGGAAAATTATCCTGGCGAAGGACCCAACCATATGCAATTGTGATTAACGCTTTGTGGGTGCCGCTTTCGGTGGGGCTCCCTATGGAGCCACGAAAGGCGTGCCACGAAACGTTGTCCTGGGCGTACGGGACGCATGCGGGCGGTAGCACTGGGGCCTTTGGTGGAGCTCCCTATGGAGCCACGAAGCGCTGTCCTGGGCGTACGGGGCGCATGCGGGCGGTAGCACTGGGGCGTTCGGTGGAGCTCCCTATGGGGCCACGAAACGCTGTCCTGGGCCCTCGGCGACGAAACGTGTGAGGGGTGTGCCGAAATGGGTGCGGTGCCGCCATGCCAACGCAGCCACTGGGCCCTCGGTGGAGCTCCCTATGGGGCCACGAAACGTGTGAGGGGTGTGCCGAAATGGGTGCGGTGCCGCCATGCCAACGCAGCCACTGGGGCCCTCGGTGGAGCTCCCTATGGGGCCACGAAACGTGTGAGGGGTGTGCCGAAATGGGTGCGGTGCCGCCATGCCAACGCAGCCAACTGGGGCCCTCGGTGGAGCTCCCTATGGGGCCACGAAACGTGTGAGGGGTGTGCCGAAATGGGTGCGGTGCCGCCATGCCAACGCAGCCACTGGGGCCCTCGGTGGAGCTCCCTATGGGGCCACGAAACGTGTGAGGGGTGTGCCGAAATGGGTGCGGTGCCGCCATGCCAACGCAGCCACTGGGGCCCTCGGTGGAGCTCCCTATGGGGCCACGAAACGTGTGAGGGGTGTGCCATGACGCAGCCACTGGGGCCCTCGGTGGAGTGCGGTGCCGCCATGCCAACGCAGCCACTGGGGCCATCGGTGGAGCCCCCTATGGGGCCACGAAGCGTGTGAGGGGTGTGCCGAAATGGGCGCGGTGCCGCCGTGCCAACGCAGCCACTGGGGCCCTCGGTGGACCTCCCTATGGGGCCACGAAGCGTGTGAGGGGTGTGCCGAAATGGGCGCGGTGCCGCCATGCCAACGCAGCCACTGGGGCCCTCGGTGAAGCCCCACATGGGGCCACGAAACGTGTGAGGGGTGTGCCGAAATGGGTGCGGTGCCACCATGCCGACGCAGCCACTGGGGCCCTCGGTGGAGCTCCCTATGGGGCCACGAAGCGTGTGAGGGGTGTGCCGAAATGGGTGCGGTGCCGCCATGCCAACGCAGCCACTGGGGCCCTCGGTGGAGCCCCCTATGGGGCCACGAACGTGTGAGGGGTGTGCCGAAATGGGTGCGGTGCCGCCATGCCAACGCAGCCACTGGGGCCCTCGGTGGAGCTCCCTATGGGGCCACGAAACGTGTGAGGGGTGTGCTGTGATAGTGGGAGGAGGGAGGGGGCAGAGGGAGGAAGGAAGGAAGGAGTGAACGCGGGGCGCTGTCTCTTCAAAACGAGGACCCAACACCACAGGATGGTTGGGAATACAACATAAAACATGGCAGCGGCTCCAGCGGCTGAAGGCCGGCGGTAGGCCGGCGGACGTGGAGATCGCCTTTCCAATAGATGCACACTTTTTTGGGGGGTGGGTCAGGGTTTCTGGTACAGGCTACGTGGTGTCAGTGCCGCTGCGCTCCGAGTGGCCTGGTGAAGGAACACGGTGGGGAAACCAACATGTAGCGATACCGCTGCTCCCCAGACCTCTCCTGGGGTGCGTTCTGACCAGAATTTCGATGCGAATCCAGCGGTGGCGACGAGTTCCTCCCAGGAGGCCCCAAAAAAGAGGAAAGCGAGGGAAGGGTGGCAGTATCGGTACCTTCCTCCCCTCCAACGCGGGGCAATCGATCGCGGCCTCTCTCAGGCCGCGCTGTTCGGGCTTTCATTCGCGATTCGCCCTCATGTCATGCGCGGGTCTACTCGCCATGGGGCCAAACGGACCCTCGAACCTTCGCCTGAAGGGAGTTGTCCCCCTTCGGGCAGGTCATCCATAGTTCTTTGCCTTTGTCTCTCTTCAAGAATCGGTTCACGTACGTCTGGGTTGCGTTTCGCCCCAGCATCAGATAGAGCGACACCCAGCGGAAACGACGCGGGGGGGGGGGGGGACGAAGAAGAGGGAGCCCCCCCCCGCACAGGAAAGGGGAGGGGGGGGAGGGGCAAGGGGGTGCACTCCCCTCCCGTCCTCTCTCCCCGGCACAGGAAAGGGGGAGGCGGCAAGGTGCGGTTCTCTCCTCTTCCAGGGGGGGAGGGGCTTCCCCTCGGCAAACGGACTGGTGGACGCACCAAGTCGAAGTAGTACAATGGCGGCTGCGCGAATTGCGAACATTCTTTGAAGAGGCGTGATGTGACACAGCTGACGGCCAGCGACGGCACGAAACGCACAGCCTGTGCACATGCAGGGAAGAACTTAATTAAAAAAGCCTGCGTCGCTAAACACTGGGGAGACACACGCACACACACATTGACATTCACAGTCACAGTCACAGTCACATTCACATTCAAACACACACACACACACTTTCACGCACCTTCACACAGTTTCACACACTTGCACACACTTTCACACACACACACACACACACGCACACACACACACAACAAACACACGCACAATACACACACAACACACACACACACCAACACACGCACACACACACACACACACACACACACCACAGGCCACGGTCCGTAGCTGCGGCTGCGGGGCGCGTGCCTTTGATGGCCCGACACGCACACACACACACACACATCCGTAGCCATTTTGGCTCAAGGCTATGAACCGCCCGACGACCGCGAGTCCGTTCTCGGGCGTCTCTGAGCGCGAGGGGGTTCGCGCTTTGAGGCCAAATCCTTTGAATACGATTCTCCCTCCAGTGGTCAGCCTAGCCGTCATTCTGCTTCTCGCGGGCACAGCTTCTGAGTCTGTGGTTGAGGAGCAATGGCGCCGCCCGCTGCTGGTAACAAGGGAGGAGGCAGTCGTGCAGCCCGGCGTGACAAATGGCTCTGCAAGTCTTGCCTCGGACGAGATCACAAACCCTACGTCAACTTCGCGGATAAGCTGTGCTGCAACAGTTGCGGCCTGGCCAAGAGCGTCGTGTACGGGGGACCCGTCAAGCCCAGCGTGCCCTCTCGGCCAGCGCCGTGGGCCGCGGGCGGCAAAGCAGCAGGATCGCTCTCGGTCCAATTGCTCGAGATGCAGAAGCAGGTCCAATCACTCACGTCGCAGCTCAAGCAGGCGAAAGCCAAGCCACCCGAGTCAACGATGCCCACGGCGGGAGCGGAGCATGGGGAAGGCGATGCGGGAGCTGAGTCGGTTGTCAAGAAAAGATTGGACGAGTTGGACGGCTTCGTCAGGCAGCTGGCTGGGATACACACGCCAGAGGTTGAGAAGCTGGTGGAGCAGTACAAGTCTGAGCAGGCCAAGCTGCGTGCGCAGCTGTTCCAGGAAAAGCCGCCCTCGCAGCGGCTCAAGGCTCTTGGTTTCAAGATCACCAAAGTCGAGCAGCAGATCACCAAGCAGCAGACGGCCCGTGAGCTCAAGCAAGCGCAGCTGGCGGCCCTGCAGGCGGAGATCGTCACGCAGGATGCCGCTTTGGTCGAGTCCCGCAAGCAGCTGCTGGAGCTCGAGGGCCAGCGGGCCCAATTGGTTGGGGCGCTGCCGCAGGTTCCTACAGCGGCTCCTGGCGCAGGTGTTGGCGACGACGAGAGCAGTTGGACAATGCCCAAGTTGGAGCAAGTCCTACTTGCTGCTGAGGCTCCTCCTGACCTGCTACAGGACGTGGCCAAGGTGGTGGACAGGATGCGACAGCATCGGCAGGCTCAGGAGCAGGAGCGCAAAGCTCATGCCGAGCGCGAGGCCACCCAGGCTCAGCAGGAGCACGCCGAGGAGGCAGCAGCCAGAGTTGACGCTGCCATGGAGGAGGATGAAGGCGATGCCCAGGAGGAAGAGTCCGTCAACCAGGCCACAGCCGAGGAGCTGCGCGAGTTCCTACGCGAGTCTGGTGCTGACTTTCCTAACGCTACAGATGCATCAGAAGAGGAACTTCGTGCTGCAGTCAAGCGAATCCGTCTGGCCAAGCCCAAGTGGAAGGTGGTCAAGAAGCCACGCACAGCCTGAGCTCACACTGTTGTCAGTCATGACGCGCAGCAAGCTACAGATAACTACCGTCAACGCCAACTCGTTTGGCACCCTGTCCAGGTACCTCGCTGATTGCAGCAGCGACGTGGTCTTGGCGCAGGAGCACCATGCAGGTGCCGAGAAGCTCCCTGAGGTCCAGGGAGATGCCCAGGACTCGGGCTGGAAAGGAGTGTGGTGCCCCGCGCTGGCCACAGCGGCTGGCGGCACGGAAGGCGGCGTCGCCGTCCTGGCCAAGACAGACATCGCCGTCACGAAGGCGCCGCTGCTGGATGACGGGGTCATTGTGCCTGGCAGGGCCGTGGCAGCCCACGTGCATGCAGCACTTCCTGGCGGCTTCGTCGCTGTGGCGCTGTATCTACACACAGGAGAGGGCAGGTCGCCTCGCAATTTGGCCATCGTCTGGCAGGTCGCGCAGTACGTGAAGCGCGTGGTTACAGGGCCAGGTCTGGCATGGATCGTTGGCGGCGGCTTCAACATGGCCCCGAAGGAGCTGCTGGAGCATGACTGGCTCCACCTCGCCGATGCCATGTGCGTGGCCCCGCGGGAGCCCACCTGCCTGCAGGCCGTGCCAGCTACTACTCTGGACTACTTCCTTGCCCACCGCCCGATGCTCCAGGGGGCCAGGTACTCCGTCGACGTTTCGGTCACTGACATTATTTGGCCACACAGGCCTGTGCATCTCACACTGGCCAAGCGCACCGAGGCGCCGATGGCACGCGAGCTAGACGAGCCGCGCCCTTTCCCGCGGGAGTTGCCCGTGGGATGTGCGAGGTATCCCTGGCATGGGTGGGAGGACGTGTATCTCTCCATTGATCAAGCGCAGTCTCTTCCTCAGCTTGCGGTGGCATGGGACCTGGTCCTCAGAGGAGTGGAGGAGGAGCTGGCTGGCAGACACGACATCGTCGGCAAGCGCAAGCAGCGCTACGTGGGGCGGGAAGGCCCTGTGCAGCAGCGCACCCGCCAGCTGGAGTGGCGACCTCCTCGACGACGAGCTCGGCACGGGCCAGAAGTGAGTGCGTGGAATGTCGCGGCCAGGTGGGCCCAGCACATCCCCGGTGTGCAAGACTACGTGACGCAGACGGTTGTGCAGCTCACCTTGCACCAGGAGGGATCCGCCACGCGCTCGGGCCAGGTGGGCCCTGCACACGGGCGTGTGCGCGAGGAGCCTGCTCGCCCTGACCCTGATCGCCACCCAGGCGAGGAGGCGCTGCACGAGGCTAGCTCGACCCTGACCGAGCAGCCTGCTGCCCGTGAGGCCCACCGCGGTGGGGTGGCCGATGCCCTCACACACGAAGGAGCTGAAGGCGGCCTGGTGAGGCGATGCGACGCTCGCCCCGTCGCCCTCCCTGTAAGTCCGAGCGAGGCCCACCGCGGTGGGGTGGCCGATGCCCTCGCACATGCACGTCCCCCTGGCGGCCAGGTGAGGAGCTGCGACGCTCGCCCCGTCGCCCTCCCTGTAAGTCCGAGCGAGGCCCGCAGCGGTGGGGTGGTCGATGCCCTCGCACACGAACCTCCTCTTGGCGGCCTGGTGAGGTGCTGCGTCGCTCGCCCCGACGCCCTCCCTGTAAGCCCGAGCGAGGCCCACAGCGGTGGGGCGGCCGATGCCCTCGCACAAGACCCTCCTCCTAGCGGCCTGGTGAGGTGCTGCGTCGCTCGCCCCGACGCCCTCCCTGTAAGCCCGAGCGAGACCCACCGCAGTGCTGAGAGACGCTGCGATGCTCGCCCTGATGCCCTCCCCGTAAGGTCATTGCAGGAGGTCAGTCAAGCGGACAACACGAGGGATCTCCCCTGCGCCCCGCGTCCTGTGGCCGGTGGCGTTCTCCACAACATGGATGGCGAGGCAGACCCGTTTGAGGATCTCGATGGGCTGCTGGATGACCAGGACCAGGACAGGTACGAGATGCCTGGTGCGTCGCCAATGTCGCTGCACGGGGGGAGAAGCCTATGCGCACTGGCGCCTGGAAGCAGCATGGATGGTGAGATCGCCCAGTCAAACGAGCTCACCGAGTATCTGGAAGACAGTCGAGTACCCGAGCCCCAGCCTGTTCCTGCAGCTCGTGGAGAGGACCCCGATCAGGTAGTAGCCCGCCGCATGCAGGAGGCCATCCAACGTGAGCTTCGACGTTACACGCAGAACTGGATAGGCGACCCGCGCAACGAGCAGCAGACGGAGCAAGATGTCACCGAGGACTGGATGGAGTGGTGCGTGCCCTACACCGCGGAGCAGCTGAGGGACCCTGCTTTTGACCCTCTCTGGGACGGAGGAGATTGGGATGAAGCCTTGCCTCGTGATGCGCGCCGTTGGCACCGAGCTCGAGAGATGTGCGAGACGGCTTATCGCGCTGGAGTTCGCAGCCGTGCTCGTTACAGTGACCATCTTCGGCGGCTACGTGATCAGTCGGAAGAGGACTGGGCAGAGGCCGTGGACATGCACCTTCGCGCCTTCGAGCAGCACCGAGAGTGGATGGATCAACGCTCAGGCGATCGGGCTGGTAGGGCCCCTCCTTCTCGACCCCCTGGCGCTGCCAGGGGCATGGTGTTCGGCGGTGTGCAGCACTACCAGCGCGTCAAGGGCCTGGCCTCCGCTCTGCTGGAGTTCGACGCTTTCTGTGCTCGTGTTGGCAAGCAGTCGCACATACTCGAGCAGCTGGATCGCGGAGCCCGCGAGCTTTTCCAAACCGGCGCTGTCATGCTTGGGGCCAGCTCGCTGAAGCTCCAGACCCAGGTCATCATCGACAAGGCCAAGCAGATGACCACGGACGCGGAGAATAGGTGCACCAAGGCCTGGACCGACTGGGCGAAGGACGCCTTCGCAGGGGGCGCGGGTCTGGCTCACCGTTTCGCCAAGGCCAAACAGGAGGTAGAGGTCCCCAGAGAGAACAGGAGCGGCCACCCGAGCGACCTGGCGGACACGGAGCTCCACGACTGGAAGGTCATATGGGAGCACCACAAGCTTGGAGAGGTCCCGCTGCCTGCGGAGGCCCAGTCCTGGCCCGTGCTGCCACACCTATCGGTTCGGGATCTCAGGCAGGCCATCAGAACCTTCAAGCTGGGCACGGCAGTCGGCCAGACGGGATTCCAGCCGCGACACCTTGACGTTCTTTCGGACCAGGCGCTGCTAGCCCTGTCCCTCCTGTTCCATGCCTGCGAGCACCACCTTGGCTGGCCGCCGCAACGCCTGGCCACGGTGCTGGTCCGCCTCCCGAAGGCGGGCGGAGGAATGAGACTGATCGGCCTGCTGAATACGATCGTGCGCCTCTGGAGCCGTGCCCGCCGCCCGTTGGCTGCCCAGTGGGAGGCTACCCACCGAGAGGAACATGGTTGGGGGTTGGGACCTGGGAGGAGTTCGTCAGCCTCGGCCTTCTCCCACAACATTACCTCGGAGATAGCCCTTGCTCGGAAGCTGGACGTTATCACGCTGATGGTAGACCTCCTCAAATGCTTCGAGATGGTGGCGCCCGAAGTTCTGGTACGTGAAGCGTTGGAGGTCAATTTCCCGCCCAGGCTGGTATGGCTCCTGACACAGCTGTATCGCCAGCCACGTGTCGTTCGCGCACATGGCAGCAACAGCGAGCTATACATCTCCTCCCAGGGCATAGTGGCAGGATGCTCTCAGGCGACGACCCTACTAGCAGTGCTGATGCACAGATCCATGCAGAGAATGAGTGCGTTGTGTCCGTCGCTCAAGCCCAGGCAGTTGGTTGACGATGTCTCCCTCCAGTGGACTGGGCATGCCAAGCACAGCGGGACCGAGTTGGGTGAGGGCATCGATCAACTCAAGTTCGAACTCCAGGGTCTCCAGCTGCCAATCCAGGTCAAGAAGCTGGGCTACGTCGCCTCTTCCAGCCGCGCCAGCAGGGCTTTCCGCTCGGCAGCAAGAGCCAGGCAGGTCATGGGCTTGCCGTGGATTCGGAACCTCGGCCACGAGCTGGCAGGCCCCAAGGTGAGACGGCAACAAGAGGCAGCACGACTACAGCAGCTTCGAGGACGGGTGCGACGCTCCCTCATACTCAAGAAAGCTGTCGGGGCCAGCCGCATCACGCGCATCCAGGCCGCTGGGATCACGCCGTCCGTCACGCACGGGGCCTCGGTCAGCGGCGTCGCAGACGCGGTGCTCAAGCCGATCCGATCGGTTGCTGCGCTACTGGCAGGAGTGCACCCGACGGGTAGCATATGCATGGGCATGCTCATGCAAGACCAGCCATTCTACGACCCTCTGTATGCGGCGACCACCAGCATCGTTTTCATGTATGCAAGCATGTTGTGGGAAGGTCGGGTGGAAATGCAAGCTCTCAGTGGCACGTGGGACTTCGTCAACGGGCAGATGAGCGCACAGCCCAGCTGGAGCCGAGTGCGCGGCCCCCTCGGGGCCCTGTGGCTTACCTTGCATCGGATCGGTTGGCGATTTAGTTCGGCGGCCACCTTCGTGTCCGACCTCGGCACCGTCCTCGACCTGAATCAGATGGCGCCTAGAGATGTTCGCGACCACGTCGTCCAGGGTGTCACGCGCTGGCTGCTAGCGCGCGCAGAGAACCCATAGAGATTCACAATGGCGAGCGGTTCTGGCATCGCGGCATCAGGCGGTGCGTGGAGAAGGCGGTTCGGGACCCTTCCGAACGAGGCTCGCTGCAGTGCGTCTGGACTGATGCGATGTGGCCTCGGCAGAAAAAGTATGAGAAGCGTTTGATTGACAGTGGTAGGTGCCTAGCCTGCGGTGCTGAACGTGAGACGAATGGCCACCGTCTGTACAAATGCCCCGCCCTCCTGGACCCTGCCCTTCACGAGACGGACCCGCCCGAAGTGATTCTTAAGACCCGTGAGCGGCTTGATCGCCTTGCGTGGGAGTCGGCCCAGGATGACCCACATGAGGCCTTGCAGTTTGCCTATGCTATCCCGCTGCAGCCTCCCGCCTCTGAGATGCCTCCCATGTGCCCCGATTTCGTGCACCATTGGGGAGACGCCGAGATTCCGTGGGGCGGTAGGTTGTACATCGATGGCGGCGGTTTCGGCATGGACACTCCTGAGATCGCTCGATGCTCCTGGGCCGTAGTACAGTTGCGAGACGACGGCTGGCCCTGTAAGGCGATGTTCGGCTCTCTCCCAGGTTTGCAGACAGCGGCGAGGGCTGAGAGATATGCTGGACTCGTCGCCACCTGCCTTTCCCCACAGGTTTCGAGTTTGATTTCTGATCATTTAAGTTTCGTGGAGGAAGGGCAACGGTGGAGCCCTGGGGACGCGTCCGCTTCGGCCCGCCACGCTGCACTCTGGAGAGCGCTACGCGCCACCGTGGCCCGCCAAGACAGGAGGCCGCCCTCGTTTGAATGGATTCCCTCGCACAAATCCCTGGACCAGGCTATTGAGCTTAATCTTGATCTCCAGGATTGGCTTGGAAATAGCTGGGCTGATCTGTTTGCTAGTGTTGCCCTTGACTTAGCCAGCCCAGCTAAAGGCCTCGTTCGTAACGTCCAGATTCGTATGGAAGAGGCCTGCCTTAATGCTAAATTCGTGACCTGGGCGGCTGCTCGCGTGGCTAAATCGGGGGTTTGGGATCCCACGGAGGCCGACCCGAGGCCCCCCCCGCCCGTCACGGCGCCCAGGCTGCTTGCGTTGGTTGCACACGAGTTTGCAGAGCTCCCTGGAGGAGGGGTCCGTTGCCTGGCTTGTAACCGTGTTGCACGCACGGCAGAGACCAGACGGTGCCTTGAATCCTACCCATGCGTGCCGTCTCACCTGGCCAGGCTCCGTGCCCAGGCGGCCCTTCTGGCCGAGGGGGTCAGCCCTGCACCTCCTCGCCCCCCCCCCTGCGGTCGCCCTGGCCCTGGCCGCCGCTGCCGCCGCCGCCGCTGCGTCGACCCCGTCAGAGAGAGTTGAGCCTGACCCTGGCGGGGGAGGCAGCCGCTCGCCGAGGCGGCAAGTTGACGGCCCTTCCCCCTCGGAGGCTCCGCTCAGGTCTCGCAGCAGGCTCGAAGGCACGCAATCGGCCCATGCGTTTTTCAGGCTGGATCGATCCGCCCGCGTTCGTGCTGTGGTCACCGAGCCCTCGA